GTTAGAAAATGCAATTAATATTTACAGAGAACAGACAGATGGGGTGGGATGTGCACTATAGCCAGCCTCCTGTTCTCTCTCTCTCTTTTACCTCTCTTTGCCCCCACACTCAGCAGTGTGGCTAGAGAGAGAGAGAGGACGAGATAGGAGGAGGTTATAGCCAGACAGGCCACTTTTAGCCAGCTGGTCCTTTATCCCGACTGCGGTGAGGAGAGGAGAGTAGATATGAGATCCCCGTGTGTGTGTGTGTTAGTGTGTCTACCTCCCACCCGCAGCCCCCCCATCTCCTCCTCCTCCTCCTCCTCCTCCCTCCCCTCAGCCCCCACCCGCTCGTCTGCAGACATGCCGCTGACTTCTGTCTCTCATCTGCAGGCAACTGGACAGCAACCACATCAGCTGCATCGAAGATGGAGCCTTCCGAGCCCTGCGCGATTTGGAGATACTGTGAGTCCTCCTCCCGCCTCCTCTGCGGGGTTCTCTCCTCTCTCTTCACCTCTGCTGTCCCTTCCTCTAACTCTGTCTGTGTGTTTCTTGATTGCTCTCGAAGGACAAACTGTGTTGCGTTATGGACCTGTGGCGCATAATCCGGTGTCACCCTGTCCGATCTGACACCGTGGCGCTTAGCATGCGATCGTCCATGCAACAGCTAAAGTTGCTCGTTTGTCATCCAGTGCTGCATTGTTTGCCGCTTGAAAAGGTGTCCTGACTTTTCCAGGTGCACCTTACCATTATAAGCACTGCGTTTTCTGTCTAGAATGTCTGTAGAATCACGCTTCCTACTTTAAAGCAGCTGTTAGACTCAGATGCTCAGATCTCTGTTCTGTTGCCTGCTGGGAAGTCTTCTTTTTTGGTTTAGTCGCACATTTAGTCAGAGTTCATAGTAAATGCTTTGATAGCAGAGAAGAGATTTGATGTGTTTGTGAGTGAGTTTATGTTTGTTTTTCCTTGGGTGTCCCCTGGATTGACTAATGACTTCAAAGCTATCTCGGACATTTTCTCACATAGGACGTGACTTGCATCCCAATGAGCTGAAGGAAGTGCGGTAAGCAGCACATGATGTGTTCTCCATCTGCAGAGCACCTAAACCTGCCTATAAGGAGCACCCCTTTGATTATTTTTCATTGAATACTTGGGTACTGCTTGCGCTTGCTCTCATTTTTTATTCTGATCACTTTTTTTTTTTAAATATACACCTAATCAGGCAATTTTATCTTTCCATTCTCGCTTTAAATGTAGATGGACAATGTGGAACTGTGCATTATAAGGTGTCCACCTTATCTTTATTATATTCATGAAATTCAAGTTGATGTTTTTAATAACTACGAACGTGGGTAGCGCTTCTCATTTCTAATTTCCAAAGACAAATCAAATCAAATTTCAAATATAATACAAATGAGATTCCATGTGGTGTAAGAATAACTGAATATTTTTCATGGGTATATGCCTCAAACTCAATTTTCATACATACACCATTGTCAAATATACAGAATTTTTTTTCTTTGGTTAATCGGGTTAAAAAAAGTGTAGTTAATAAGATTCCTTAGGTGCAATGAAAAATCGCTGTTTAAAACTAATAAATAAGGTGTATGCTTGAAAGGCATGGTCTGAACGTAAAAAAAACTATAACTTTAAACCTTTCGTACAATAAGGAGATCAAAAAACTAAAACAGTACTTCAATATATATATATATATATATATATAT